AGATGATGTACACCCTCTCATGTAATAGGGACTCTTTCAATCTTCTGTAAGTAAAGCAAAAAGTGTAGGTATAATGGGGGATCTTAAATAAACACTGTAGATGATGTACACCCTCTCATGTAATAGGGACTCTTTTCAATCTTCTGTAAGTAAAGCAAACAGTGTAGGTATAATGGGGATCTTAAATAAACACTGTAGATGATGTACACCCTCTCATGTAATAGGGACTCTTTCAATCTTCTGTAAGTAAAAGCAAACAGTGTAGGTATAATGGGGATCTTAAATAAACACTGTAGATGATGTACACCCTCTCATGTAATAGGGACTCTTTCAATCTTCTGTAAGTAAAGCAAACAGTGTAGGTATAATGGGGATCTTAAATAAACACTGTAGATGATGTACACCCTCTCATGTAATAGGGACTCTTTCAATCTTCTGTAAGTAAAGCAAACAGTGTAGGTATAATGGGGATCTTAAATAAACACTGTAGATGATGTACACCCTCTCATGTAATAGGGACTCTTTCAATCTTCTGTAAGTAAAGCAAACAGTGTAGGTATAATGGGGGATCTTAAATAAACACTGTAGATGATGTACACCCTCTCATGTAATAGGGACTCTTTCAATCTTCTGTAAGTAAAGCAAACAGTGTAGGTATAATGGGGATCTTAAATAAACACTGTAGATGATGTACACCCTCTCATGTAATAGGGACTCTTTCAATCTTCTGTAAGTAAAGCAAACAGTGTAGGTATAATGGGGATCTTAAATAAACACTGTAGATGATGTACACCCTCTCATGTAATAGGGACTCTTTCAATCTTCTGTAAGTAAAGCAAACAGTGTAGGTATAATGGGGATCTTAAATAAACACTGTAGATGATGTACACCCTCTCATGTAATAGGGACTCTTTCAATCTTCTGTAAGTAAAGCAAACAGTGTAGGTATAATGGGGATCTTAAATAAACACTGTAGATGATGTACACCCTCTCATGTAATAGGGACTCTTTCAATCTTCTGTAAGTAAAGCAAACAGTGTAGGTATAATGGGGATCTTAAATAAACACTGTAGATGATGTACACCCTCTCTCATGTAATAGGGACTCTTTCAATCTTCTGTAAGTAAAGCAAACAGTGTAGGTATAATGGGGATCTTAAATAAACACTGTAGATGATGTACACCCTCTCATGTAATAGGGACTCTTTCAATCTTCTGTAAGTAAAGCAAACAGTGTAGGTATAATGGGGGATCTTAAATAAACACTGTAGATGATGTACACCCTCTCATGTAATAGGGACTCTTTCAATCTTCTGTAAGTAAAGCAAACAGTGTAGGTATAATGGGGGATCTTAAATAAACACTGTAGATGATGTACACCCTCTCATGTAATAGGGACTCTTTCAATCTTCTGTAAGTAAAGCAAACAGTGTAGGTATAATGGGGATCTTAAATAAACACTGTAGATGATGTACACCCTCTCATGTAATAGGGACTCTTTCAATCTTCTGTAAGTAAAGCAAACAGTGTAGGTATAATGGGGGATCTTAAATAAACACTGTAGATGATGTACACCCTCTCATGTAATAGGGACTCTTTCAATCTTCTGTAAGTAAAGCAGACAATACATTTTAACTTATACGTTCATTCCTGGACAAAAGAATTTTATATTTAAAAAGCATCTGTTAAAAGGTATTTTTTGTCATTTACACTGTATATACTTTTCTCATCATAACAATATCTATAAAAATGTATGTAAATATTAAAATGGATTGTTTATATTGCTTAAAATATAAAATTTCAAATTCATATGAATAATGATAGCAATAGCTTAGCAATACAAATGCTAATAGCATAAAACGTGAAAAAGCTAAAATCCCTGAATGCTTGAACATACAAACTAAAATCAGAAATCAAAGCCCCCAAATTTCTTCAGAAATGAGTCAAGTCCGTTTGTTAATTGGGTGAGTCCACTAGAGAGTAGGGTAGAACCAAAGCAAAGTGTAGGGGTACTGAGAAAACATGCATTGATTAAGTGTTGGTGAACCGGGGTGTAGGTGAAATTAGAGTTTAGGGGTTATGGGTGTGAACCGCTGACAGTTAAGCGGATATATGCCCGCGGTGGTAACCTGACTCAGGGTGACACTTTATCATTATTGACTTTCCGTGTCGTTCAGCCTTTAACATTAAGCCACGGCTACCGTATCTGTTCACTTTACTTGCTTATAGCACAAACAACAATGATTGACTTAACGTTGATTTACGAAATCACTGAAGGCACTTTACTGTAAACCTCCTCATGCTTCGTAATATCGGTGTCTAAAGTTATAGATAAACTTCAAATGTTTAGTGAGTTCATTTTTAACAAACTGTTCAGATTCAATTTGCCCCCAACTTTACAAACGTCATCAAGACCTTACCAGATTGAAACAGTGCAAACCTTTGGGACCAATTGTAAGGCACATCTATTGATCCGTATCGAGTCATAGCAATCGAGTAACCAGTATATTGTAAACACAAAAGTCACCGTGTCCTTTAATCTGACTGGTTGAAAAACATGATCGAATGGTATTCGATTCCCGGAAATTGCAAGACTCTTCACTGTGCATTGACACGTTCAAATTTCGCACACAATTGTATTGTTTTGTCGTCAACAGTGGTGACGTCATTCAAATCATACTGTGACGTAAAGTCGGAATGATGTCACACATGAGCAGTTCCAGATGGGAACCAGCTGAAACTGGCGGCTGATGACACTTCACTGCTGTACCCGTACTCGGTGTCAATGAGTGGAGACAGTAAAACCCAAGTGGGCCTTTTTTGTTTACTTTTGTTTATAATGTCGATAAACATCATGTGTTGGCCTATTTCCGGGTGTTATTGAGTATTTGAAGCATTTGGAACATTTCATTTGAAACCTCCGTCGGTTACAAATGAATTCCCGTACTTCAAATACTCAATAACACCCGGAAATAGGCCAGCACATGATGTTTATCTCCTAATGTCATTTCTAGCCACCTCCCAACACTGATTAGGTGTGAGTGAGAGTGAATTAAACTTTATATTCCCATCTGCAATATTTTAGCTATATTGTGACTAACACAAGTTCTAAATATTAAATTTTAAAACTTAAATTTAAAATTGTGTCGACAGAGGACAATTAAACAACTAGAATATCACAGAAACAGAATAAAAAACCCGAGGATTTATCTTTAAAATTTGATTACAATTTTGAACAATGCAATTTTACAATCGGCTATAGATTACCAGCAACTGAAGGTAGATAATCTTACTGGGGCCTTACTGTACTTTTGCTGTATGGATCCAAGCTGGATTTAAACTATCTCTTCACATGCTGTCATTGTAGACAATTCTAACCATAAGTGGATATAACAGGAAGTGGTAGATTTAAATTTCCCTCGAATGTTTCGCCACTGACAATCGTGTGTTCGCTTCCTATTATTAATATTCATAGCAATATATTTTTATTGTTTATGATATTAATTACAATAGGTGAGGTAGAATGGGGTTTTATTTCGCTCATATGACGACGTGCATGCGTGTGTATGTGTATGTGTGGTTGCTTGTACTAGCCCAGACTAAAGCTGGTTCTATAGTGCTAGCCCACTGATAGACCATGCCGCAGTTAAGCATGAATACCCCACTCAGACACATTATACTGACTCCGAGCTCACCAGTCCTTGTTGTACCCATGAATGCCGAGCGCCAGGCAGGGACCAACAAGTACCGCATTTTAACGTATTTTGGTATGACGCTGCCGGGTATCGAACCCGCAACCTTCCGCTCTCAACGGAGGCGGTAGCACATATATGAACTTAACATTTTAAGATGTGTCTATTTCTCATTTATTGTTCACATTTATTCACATTCAATGCCTCGTTCACACAACGCAAACAATTTATCATTTTCTCTCTGTGGGAATCCCTCCAACTCTCGGAAATACGATCTTTGTGTTTATTGGTGGTTGTATTCACACTATGTGTTATATTTTTGTATTCACACTATGTGTGATATATTTCTAAGAATGCAACGTTTGAGTGTATATGTTTTATTATTTTGATTGACAAAACACATACCCAACCAATTACTGCCAAGATCAAACGAGATGTCAAGATTATTAAACGTACAGGTTATGAAGATGAATTATACTCAAAAAGGAATATTTGATCATACCTACACTTTAGAAGGAGAATTCAATTATTTGAACTACATCTTACAGATGAAAAGTTCCCAAACTAACGAAATTTAAACAACAACATAACCCCCCAAAACTACTTACCGCCATGCTCATACGTACAACTTGAAGACTTAAATTACATGAGCAATACCTTAATGAAGACTGACTGACTGACTGAATTTGGCTTTTGCCGCTTTAAGCAATATCCCAGCAACATCACGGCGGGGGACACCAGAAATGGGCTACACAAATTGTACCCATGTGGAGATTCGAACCTGGTCTTCGGCGTGACGAGCCAACGCTTTAACCACTAGGCTACCCCACCGTCCCCTTAAATGAAGAACATACACAAACTATATACAACTATCTAAAATACCCAATCACCATCGCACCCGCAGATTACAGCAAACCAGCTATAGGTATTGATCAATATAACGTTTGTAGTCATGTTTGAAAAACAAGTTATAACCGGTATAATAATTTACAATTTGATCTTCCTGTCGTTTCTAAATTTTCAGCTCTCAGTCAAATATTTAACAATGTTGGCTCATTGTGCAAAGAAATCACTTCAGTTCTACTTCCCCAGATAACTCCATCAGCTCATAGATTGTTGACAGAGCAAGGAAAACGTTTTTCTGTTAAAGTTTAAGTCACACGGTAAATTTCATAAGAGGATATGGAAATGCGATATCTATGTAGTTTCTTTATGACAGCTATGCATTTTAGTGGTTTTGATAATCAGATGATAACCCACGAGTGCCGGGTATATATAGAGCAGACCACAGTTTCTCTGAATTGCCAGTTTCCAACTTGTGATCATTCATTATGAAGACTGCAGTGGTTCTCGTCTCTGTTCGGCCTTGGTCTTTGCGGGTCTCTCGGTAAGTCATTCTGTATTATTCGACTCTCATAGGGATACTCCCTTAATTGTAGTGTGGGGCGGTGGGGTAACCTAGTGGTTGAAGTGTTGGCTCGTCTCGCCGAAGGCCCTGGCTCGATTCCCCACAAAAGGTACAATGCGTGAAGCCCATTTCTTGTGTCCCCGCCGTGATATTGGTGGAATATTGCTAATAGGGGTGTAAAACTAAACTCACGCACTCGTTGTAGTGTTGAAGGTAAAGTGTCTGTCTTGGTGGTCCGATCATCAGCCGCCGCGTCATAACAAATTACCTTAAAAGCTGGTACTTGTTGTTCCTTTGCCTGTCCAAAAGAGAATTGGTTGGCTTGATGTATGTTTAATGTTGGGTAACCGTGCTTACAGACTAAGCTGCCCCATGTTACTAACAGAACGGCATTATTAAGGATTAGAACAAGCAGTCACACCGCACCATTCTCGTAAGAAATATAAATGACCATAGTAGTGAGTTAACGTGTAACATCGCATCGAGGATGTTGCACATTAAATTGACTGCTGTAAATACATATGGAGGTAAGAAGAGCCGCATCAGGTTTGTCGAGTGGCATCTTTCTAAGTGATGTTGACAGGTTGCAGTTAAGTTGCTATATTTGTTCAATTTATTGCTCGGTTCTGTGATTACTTTCCCGTTATAGTAAAGTTTTTTCAAAACCTCAAAATTTCAAGTTTTTTAAAGGAACTTATGATAGAAAGAAGAAAGAAAGAACGAGAAAATAATCGAAATTTCCCATTATAAAATGTCAAATGGTGAAAAATAATCGATGGACAAGCACATTAACGAGAAAGTACTTGAAGCAACGAGACATTCTCACTTTCCCTTTTATATCTTTTATATAACTCTCGAAATTTCATTTTTTTTACAGGAACTTGAATCAACAAGAAAACATCGAAAGAATGAGAAAATAATCGAAATGTCACTTATTTGAAAGAAAAGAAAGACGAAAAGTAATCGATGTAACGATAAAATACTTGAAGCAGCGAGAAATTCGCTGAAAAGATAATTTATGCCACAAAGCTGTGGCATTAGTTTTTTGTACACGCACATGCACAAACCCTCTGTCTTCTTCCTTCATATGTTCTTTACATGCTATGTCTGCAGTCCGCCAGTGTCGCCAGGATTGGGAGTTGGGTAATGGCGAGAAGTCCTGCTACAAAGTCGTGAAACTACAGACATCTTGGGCCCAGGCCTACGTGAGTATCCTTCATCATCGTTCTCAACAGTTGCCGGGGTTATGGCTGTGGGTTAGGTCAGGGTTCGTTTTCCGCTTTGGTCTATGTGTACCATTGCTTCTGCTGTGTCAACGAGTATCTCTCTCAGAAGCAATGTGTCAAATGTTTTGTATTATCTGTTTGGAGAAACTGATTCCCAAAATAGCAAATGCATGCTGTATCTGTCGTGGGTGGTGACCACAGTTATACTTTGAAGGACAGCACGTACATTCCCAAAGATGAAACACATGTTTTATAAACTGACAATGAATTAAGTATGCAAGGTATTGGACGTGCGTATGGTCTTACACTGCTTCAGATAATGTCACAGCAATACAATGGCGGTGAACACAATATAGGCCCTTCTCATGTTCTACACATGAGGGGAATCGAAACCAAGGCACCTGGGAATGTTCCGTGTCCGTCCCTGATATCATCACACCTTCGTTTGAAGAGTTTTGACACGTTCTTATATTTCTAATCACTTAAGCGATAATACAACATACAACAACTTATTAAAGATAACATTATCGTAAACACACGCTATCATTCACGAATATATACAGTGTTTGTATCACCCAACATCCCTTGTCATAGCACAAGTAAGGACTGTCGACCGAAAACGTGATATCCAAAATGATATCCTAAATATGATCCGGCGAAAATGCTCTCCTACAGATGTGGTGCACAGTGATGAGGTCCCATCTCGCCGACATCACCAGCCAGTTTGAACAGGACTCAGTTGCCGACATCCTCAAGACCAAGTACAGCGGTGAGTGAGAGCCACGCTCCGAGTCCCTGGCGACACCATACATGCAGACCAGAAACATTTCCCTTATCAATTTACGTTTTCTGAACAACTGACATCATGACTGCTACATTTCGCCTCATTTCAAATGTCTTGGTAACAGGAACCAAAAAGTGATATAAAATGCATTTAGAGACATGCTGTAAGCTTTCTAATAGTAAATCATAGATATTATGGGACAAACTTAGAAACATCTAATTTGGTTATATATGCGACAGGTAACATATTGACAGATTATTCTTGCCTCCCTTGACTGTTTCAGGATTCGCTCGTGGAATCCAATAGTCTCAGCATGTCTCTTCAAGTGAACCAGCACTTATTATCATCAGTCTATATTTGTCCATAGTCTTGGGTTTACAAAGTGGTAATCGGAATCAAACTGCTTCCTTTAGGTCTAACACCTTCAGCTCACTTCGTTTGTCAAAGCTCCAAAACATATGATCCAGTGATGTGAAATGCTCCTTTGTTCAGAATACTATGAGCAGTTCTGGATTGACCTGAGCGACATGTCAACTGAGGGTGACTGGCGTCTGATGACCTTCAACCAAAACACGACTTTCACCCCCTGGATCCAAGGTCAGCCCAACAACTATGACCAGGCTGAGAACTGCGCCCACATCAACGCCAAGCCGTCCCGCAACTTCATGTGGAACGACCACAACTGTCAGGCCCAGCTCAACTTCATCTGCGAAGCTTAGTAAGTGTGAAACACGATAGCACTGGGCTGACATTTATCAACGTTTTTCTGGTACCTCTGATGTGTCCTCATTTCAGATGAGGGAGTGAGTGAGTGAGTTTAGTTTTACGCCGCACTCAGCAATACTCAAGCTATATGGCGGCGGTCTGTAAATAATCGTCATTTCAGATGATGCCTCAGACAGAACATAATGGCATTCCACCATATACGAAAGTAATTGTCCACATTAGGACATATGCAAGCCGTTTCTGACTCACAGAATCCGTTTAGCGAGTCTAAATATATCTCTAGGACACAAGGTGGCGCGAAAACAGGTTCAGATGTTGTAATGCGGCAAAAATCTTTCTCGATGCGGAATCATAGCTAGTGGAGACAAAGTCACCTGAGCGATTACCAAGAGCACATTTATGAAACCGCGAGTGAGTCAATATTGTTTTACGCCTCATCAGCCATTTTGCAGCGACTAGTGGCGAGAAATATATTTTGTTTTGTAGCATGTTGGACTATAAAAGTGATGCTGAAAATCACTAAAATGTCAGTTAAATGTCACACTTATGGGTAAGAACTGACTGTTGAGATAACACATTTTATCGAATAGTTTGAATATGCTGCAATCAAGTGGTTGAAAACGGTTCTAAAGAGCTGAGATAGGAACATCATCATAATACAGTGTCTGATATGCGCAAGATCTATACATTCAAGTGAAATGTTCATAGTATACAGATAACTGTATGTCACGGCACAGTAGGGTGTGTACACTATATCCGTTCTGTTTTAGCCCGGAGGAGGTCTACGTGGACTAGACAACATCTGAACACCTGAGATGCTGACAAGGATGTTACAGTTTTTGGGTCTTTTCCTGTATTTAATATATACATGTGTGTTGTCTTGTGTAAATAAACAGCCTTTCTGAAACCATAACGTGGCGTGTGCGTTTTTGTCACAATTCTCTGAACGTGAGTGATTGAGTTTAATTTTACGCTGCACTCAGCAATATTCCAGCTATATGGCGGCGGTCTGTAAATAATCGAGTCTGGACCAGACAATCCAATGATCAACAGCATTAGCATCGATCTACACAATTGGAATATAGTGACATAATATGTCAACCAAGTCAGCGAGCCTGACCACCCGATGCCGTTAGTTGCCTCTTTCTAGCATGGGTTACTGAAAACCGATTCTAATCCAGAAATTCTCAGAAAGACTGACTGACTGACTGAGTTTGGTTTTAGCAATATTCCAGCAACATCACGGCGGGGGACACCAGAACTGGGCTTCACACATTGTACCCATGTGGGATTCGAACCTGGGTCTTCGACGTGACGAGACAACTCTTTAACCATTAGGCTACCCCATCGCCCCTCTCAGAAACAGATATGGCACGTGAAAAGTTACCGTTTGCTTGTTATTCTTCGACTGATTAGTAAATATAATAATCTACGTATGTGACAATGTTGTAGCGTGAAGGAGGAAATGTAACATTTACGTTTACCATACTTTTTAAAGAAAGAACAGAAACTGGTGAACACTTCATGAGTGTGTGACAATGTGTGTGACAATGTGTGTGTGTGCGTAAGAGAGTATGATCATGCGTGTGTGACACATTTAGTCTCCCGTGAATACATACGTCACTTTCACACATACCATGATCCATCTCACTGTTATTGCTGAGTCTGTGATGAATGATCTATTAGCGTGACATAGCTCACGACTGTTACGTTAATTTTAATACCTGCTATGTTGAAGCCATATCCTGCCAATATTCCATTATATTGTCATAAACCCAGTGACACCAGCGCACGCTGACACACAACAGGACGAGATACCGCTCCCATCGACCACGCCCTATATAGCTGTATCCCAACACACACATGGATAACTATGCCCCCGGATACACTTCGACCTGACGAGCCAACGCTTTAACCATTAGGCTACCCCACCTAACAACATTACTATTGCATTATAAAACAAATGAGTGATACCATGAACGCAGATCAGCGCCACCAGGACATAATGACACGGAACAGTACAATTTCAACCACGTCCTTTTTAGCTGCATCCCGTGACACACATGGATAACTATATTCCCCGGATATTCCAGAAGAATACTGAATACCGAGTCTTCCGTATGACACCAATATATTTTTTTAAATTTCGGGTGACGTCAAAGAAATTGCAATCTAACATATACTTATGCAATCAATTATACTTATATCTCACGGCACATAGAAGGGTAAGTAAACAGCAGATCCTTTAAGGTTCTGAAAATAGGTGAACTAAACAGTGGAGAACAAAGCATTGAATACTTTGCCATGGTCCATTGCCACAGTTTGTTTGTGAGAGTTGTGTCCCCTAGCCGGAAAAGGATCTTGTGGTCATTTTTACGACAATTGGCCTGTTAGTGCCTGTGTTTCACCAAGTATTTTACATCCCCCACTTACTTAACTTCCTTCAACCAAGTAGCCCTATGTTGATCTCGAGCCAAACCACACTCACGCCATCCATCGATTTACACAGATCACTGAAAGTAATATTGAGTACTACCAAGATATGTTGGACGACTATAACCAGATCTTTCATGTCAAGACAATTTTTAAGAATGAATGTGAATTATTCACTCGTTCACCAACGTGTATCCTGGTAGATGGCGACGAGGCATAGAACAGGGTGTTCTTGATTCTGTGGAAACGAATGTCTCTGATGAAGTTGGGTTGGAAACCGAAGCATGTATAGGAACTGGAAGTAAAATCTTGACGGGTGCACCCAAATCATCCCCTCATTGAAATTACTATGTAGAAAATTCATTTATATCAGTGAGCGTGATCGTAGTGGGCAGCAAAGAGATTTAACATGGAAACCCCACAAGCTGTATTGCTACAGAGACATTTAGTTGTGGCATCAACACCTCATACACTGGTTCAGGGTGGCTATGTACGGTTAAATTATTAGAGGTTGTATTAGTGAGCAATTCATCGGTATCAAATGAAATCAAACGGAGTGTAGTTGGTCTAACTGCATGTTATAATCTTGTCCTGTGCTGGGGGATGTACGTGGAGCGTGTTAATCAACGGGTGAAGCCCCATGTTGTACAGTACTTTGTGGGAGCACGATCAATACTTTACTAAACAGCGGATGTACATGTGGTCTGTGTCCACATTAAATCCTTAGACAGGTAGAATGAACGACGTTTCATACAAACATTCTTCAGACGAATCTGTGTGGGTTGCCTAGCTGTCAAATCCTGGACATCACGAGGAAGAGTTGTTCGCTGGACAAGTGCGAGAGTTCCTAACCCATTACCACGGTTAGAATTCCCAGACATATTCTTATCAACCTGTATTCTATAAATGTAAAAGTATGGTCAAAGATAACAAATGCTCCTGTCTCTAATATGACATAAGATTACCTTTGCACAGGCCATACTGACACAATGCATGAATCTTATCAAGAAAAGAAAAAGAGGTAGGTCTCACATGAACTGGAGCCATGTTGAATCCAACACAGTTCGTGTGCTTCATGCTGGCATTCCTGTTCGTGGTGAGTAAGATCACAGTTCATGTTATATAACGCATTAACAACATTATTGGATGTTGAATGGTGTGGCTTTTAACAGATGTCATCCAGAAAGCTATACGGTCTTATCTGATAGTATGTGTTTGCCTGGAGGAACGCAAATGGACAACCGTTATCTTTCATAATGAATGAAGGTTTTATAAAGGTTGTTGTCACACATGTTCCTGTCTGACCATGTTTATGAGACAGTTGCGTTAAATTTCATACTTGAACAAAATGTACTTAATATATGCTAACGATATTTACAAGACAAATGTAGGTATGTTCAAATCTATTCATATGGACAAACGTCAGGTTAATCTGTGGAGATCCTGTCCTCGTCTTTTGCTACTGGGAGCGTCTGGTTAGTCCAGTGGTTAAAGCGTTCGTTCGTCACGCCGAAGACCCGAGTTCGATTCCCCACATGAATAGACTGATTGAATGACTGAGTTTAGTTTTACGCCGCTTTTAGCAATATTCCAGCAATATCACGGCGGGGGACACCAGAAATGGGCTTAACACATTGTGCCCATGTGGGGAATCGAACCCGGGTCTTCGGCGTGACGAGCCAACGCTTTAACCACTAGGCTACCCCACCGCCCCTCCACATGAATACAACGTCTGAAAGCACATTTAAGGTGTCCTTCGCCGTGATATTGCTGAAATAATGTTAAACGCGGCGTAAATGTACTCATTCACTTTTGCTTCAAATGATCGTTGGGAGAGAGAAATGCTCCTACTGGTATTTGTACCCATGGGTTATCCATATTCTATGGTATGGTGATAACAAGGGTATACTTTATAGCTCAGCTATTTATGTATGTGGAGTTTCATATGATTCTTGAAGACAGTGGCACGAGCGTAAACTGACCATTGTTCCTTTAATCGTTTATACATTTATATGCCTTTCTGTTTCAGTTTGATTGCTACACAACATTAGTTCAAGGTCAGTTTTATTTTGCTGGAGTTTCTGTTTGAAACACATCTTTGCTTCTGCAGCATGGATTACAATATTCTCAGTTTACAAGCTGTTGGTATTGGACTTGCAATGCCACGGGATACTGTTTACTTTTCTTTTGCAAAACTGGATTTGTATTTTTATTTTCCATCCCAATCAATGATGCTCACTCACTTACTCCACAGCTGAATCCACCCCTATACTGCTGACCACAGCTGACCCCCGAGTCCAGGTGTTCAGGAACGGACAGTGGGCATACATCTGCGGTAATGGCTGGAACTCTAAAGATGCGAAGGTCATTTGTCGGATGATGGGATACTGGTGAGTAAATAGCTGGATTCCCTTGTAACATACAAATGATTTAGAACATGTTCAAGTACAATGAGAAAGCATGTTAACAAAAACATTATGTCCATGGACATAGCTAAATAATAATATGATTATGCATTGTCAGATTTAATGGAAAATGCAGTTTGGTTTCGTAACGAAATGGTGCCATTAAGATGTACGATCATTAACTCTGTGTTCGATACAGTGGGAACGTTAAGAAGGCACTGAAACAAGCCTCTGGTCTATGTTCAGGCAGGGTACTGGCACTGCTCGGATCATCACGTTGAGCGGTTCGGAGAAATTCTGGCTCGACGACGTGGACTGCATCGGCAACGAGACCGACATCAGCGAGTGTAGCTTCCAAGGCTGGGGAATACCGTCATGTCCAGCTGGGGGAGTGGCAGGAGTCAACTGTGAGGTGTCGGGTGAGTTTCCTGGCGTAGATGAAGCGGATACCGTCATGTCCAGCTGGTGGAGTGGCGGGCGTCAACTGTGAGGTGTCGGGTGAGTTTCCTGGAGTAGATGTTGCAGATACCGTCATGTCCTGCTGGTGGGGTAACGGGCGTCAACTGTGAGGTGTCGGGTGAGTTTCCTGGCGTAGATGAAGCGGATACCGTCATGTCCAGCTGGTGGAGTTTCGGGAGTCAACTGTGAGGTGTCGGGTGAGTTTCCTGGCGAAGATGAAGCGGATACCGTCATGTCCTGCTGGTGGGGTAGCGGAAGTCAACTGTGAGGTGTCGGGTGAGTTTCCTGGCGTAGATGAAGCGGATACCGTCATGTCCAGCCGGTGGAGCGGCGGGAGTCAACTGTGAGGTGTCGGGTGAGTTTCCTGTCTTGAATGAAGCGGATACCGTCCTGTCCTGCTGGTGGGGTAGCGGAAGTCAACTGTGAGGTGTCGGGAGAGTTTCCTGGCGTAGATGAAGCGGATACCGTCATGTCCAGCTGGTATAGTGGCGGGCGTCAACTGTGAGGTGTCGGGAGAATTTCCTTGAGTAGATGAAGCGGATACCGTCATGTCCAGCTGGTGGAGTGGCGGGCGTCAACTGTAAGGTGTCGGGTGAGTTTCCTGACGTAGATGAAA